AAAAAAAAAAAAAAAAATGCTATTTCTTATAGAATGTAAATAAACTTAGTGATGAGTTACTATAAGCATCTACACAATCATACATTACTTTGAGTAATGATGAAACAGTAGTTAAAATAATTTCTGTTGCGCCTGGTGCTATTTTTAAACATGCTAGGTTTGTCTTCAGCTCTATCATTGCATAAATGTGATGAGATGTATACAAACAGTTTATCTTTTTATACTTGATTGTTTCTATCATTTTCTCCCCGACAATTGAAATATCTGAGTAAAAGCAGATGACACTGGCAAAATATTGTAGTTTTTTACAAACAGAATTAGGGCCAATTTTACACATCATCACATAGAGACTATCTATTTATAGCTTCAAAAATTTTACTGTTTGACCGTCATGGACTGTACTTCTTCATTTCCAGTCTAGTATTTTCTCCTAAATTATAGGGGTTTTTTTTCTTTCACATTCTCTCACCATCAAACTCACCAGCAAGACTAAATTACTCCCTTACTTCAAGCCTTCCCTTGGCTATTTAACTGTCTTTGTCAGCCCTTCAAGCCTTTGTTCTTATTTGACTGCTGTTTTCATACATCAATTTCACTTTCTAACTTGTCACTTCAGAATCTAAAATGATCCTTCTTAAAAGTAGAAGGGAGGCTCCCTTTTTTATGACCACTGGGGAAGCGTTATTTCTGTGGCCTTCCCACCCACCTTCCACTCTTATTCCAGCATTCTTTGGCAGCAGTCCCTGGGCTGTCATCAAAGATACCCATGGCATCTAATTTAAGCTTTATGGCTCAACCATCTCTTCTTTGATCGGTCCAGGAAATCCCAAGTCAGGTGTCCATTTCGTTTTTTCTTGTTCTCTGTGGCAGACACAGTCATTTGACAGAAATGTAATGTTGCTTCCTAGGGAAGAAGACGCCCCTGGATTTCATTTACTTCTTACTAGGAGGATACAGCTCATAGTTCAATATCAGATGAGAAACTCCTTTATATTCAGATAGTGAACATATTTCTAAGAAGCCTAAATAATCCTACCTTCAGTTACACTATTTAGAATTCATTATATTGATTTCTGAAATCCTTGCTCATGTAAAGAAAAAAAATAGAATTCATTAATAAAGTCTTAGCTTGGCTTGTTTTTAATTATTAAATAATCTTTGACTAATTCATCCTTTTCTGAACCCTCCAATTACTACTGTCTGCTGAAATTAGCCTATATTCCCTATGCCTGTCACGTCATGTTACTCATTTCTTCCCAGCTTTCAGCCCTCGCTAAGATTGTATATATAAAAGCATGGAAGCATTTCTAGCTTTTAGTGCAGCTTTACTATCCTTTTTTTTGGAGACGGAGTCTCACTCTGTCTCCCAGGTGGGAGTGCAACGGCTCAATCTCAGCTCAGTTCAACCTCTGCCTCCCAGGGTTAAGCGATTCTTTTGCCATGCCCAGCTAATTTTTATATTTTTAGTAGAGCTGGGTCAGGGCGGGGTTCACCATATTGGCCAGGCTGGTCTCGAACTCCTGACCTTGTAATCCGCCCACTTCAGCCTCCCAAAGTGCTGGGATTACAGGCGTGAGCCACCAAGCCCAGCCAGCTTTATTATACTTGTAAATCCAATGTCAGGCATTGAAAAGCCTTGGCCAGGGGACTGTGAATCTTCATCTGGCTCTATCTATAGCTAAATATTTCCTATACCCTGATAACCTCAATTTTTATCAGCTAGATAGATAATCGGCAATTAGAAGCATAATTGAACTAGACAACTTTGGGGATTCTTGTCGGTTTCTACTGACTTAGATCTTTTTCTTATCCTCATTAATGGAAAAGCCATAGGCTTTAGCTGGCTAGGTATTGGTAAGAAGTTAAATTGGATGTATAGCCTGAGTGCCCCAAGCCCAGTAAGGGAACTTTGAAGTATATAACAATCAAAAGATGAAAACCAATCATTTCTGGCTGGAGAAAACACTGAAGTAGGTTTTGTTTGTTTGCTTTTTTACTTAAAGTGTGATGTGTATTTAGTCTTTGATTTTGAAAGTAGGTTACTACATATAATACATTGTAGCAAAATAGTGTATTTACATACAGCCTGCTTTTTCTCTGAACAGAAGGCAGACTTTTGAGCTATATACAAGTCACTGCTTAAGATAAAAATGGTACTCATTACTTGGGAGGCTGAGGCAGGAGGATTGCCTGAGCCCAGGATCCTGGGCAACATAGTGAAAGCCTGTCTCTAAAAAAAGAAACAGAGAAGTATAAATGACAGTAACATAGAGTATCACAAGTTACACTTGAGATACCATTGAAAAATCTTTCAGGGCGAAATTAGTAATAAAATGATGTAAAGTTTGGAAAAAAAAAGGTTATGTGTGTGGGTTCATAGGTGTTCTTACCTGGATTCTTAGATGCCTATGCTTTGAATAATACACATTGACATTTTGCTTAGGCACCCATGCAAACACAGACCTACCAGGCAAGAACTGTCCTATTTATCAGACGAAATAAGCAGAGGCTAAGCGCAGATGGCTTCTCAAGTCACAAGGCAAGGCAGCGGTTGAGCAAGCAATACATCTTTCCAGGTTATGATTGCAACTCACCCTCTGTTCCTTCTAAGACTTATTTTAGCTCAAAAACAAAACACGTGTTAGAACTGTTCATTCGAGGAAAATGGGACAGGAAGAGTTTGCACTTGGTTTTTTGTGAAAGTATGTTGGAAATATATGAAACCTTTTGTAGTATTTTATTTTATTTTATTTTATTTTTGAGACGGAGTTTCGCTCTTGCTGCTCAGGCTGGAGTGCAATGGCGCGATCTCGGCTCACCGCAACCTCAGCCTCCTGAGTAGCTGGGATTACAGGCACGCGCCACCATGCCCAGCTAATTTTTTGTACTTTTAGTAGAGACGGGGTTTCACCATGTTGACCAGGATGGTCTCGATCTCTTGACCTCGTGATCCACCCGCCTCGGCCTCCCAAAGTGCTGGGATTACAGGCTTGAGCCACCGCGCCCGGCTTGTAGTATTTTAACTATCTGCTGAAAAGGACTAAATATTAAACCAGTAATTTGCAAATCTGTGATATTTTAATTGTCTTTTTGCTTCTTTTCAGGTGGTGGCCAGGCAACATGGGTGACTGGAGTGCCTTAGGCAAACTCCTTGACAAGGTTCAAGCCTACTCCACTGCTGGAGGGAAGGTGTGGCTATCAGTACTTTTCATTTTCCGAATCCTGCTACTGGGGACAGCGGTTGAGTCAGCCTGGGGAGATGAGCAGTCGGCTTTTCGTTGTAACACTCAGCAACCTGGTTGTGAAAATGTCTGCTATGATAAGTCTTTCCCAATCTCTCATGTGCGCTTCTGGGTCCTGCAGATCATATTTGTGTCTGTACCCACACTCTTGTACCTGGCTCATGTCTTCTATGTGATGCGAAAGGAAGAGAAACTGAACAAGAAAGAGGAGGAGCTCAAGGTTGCCCAAACTGACGGCGTCAATGTGGAGATGCACTTGAAACAGATTGAGATCAAGAAGTTCAAGTATGGTATTGAAGAGCATGGCAAGGTGAAGATGCGAGGAGGGTTGCTGCGAACCTACATCATCAGTATCCTCTTCAAGTCTGTCTTCGAGGTGGCCTTCCTGCTGATCCAGTGGTACATCTATGGATTCAGCTTGAGTGCTGTTTACACTTGCAAAAGAGATCCCTGCCCACATCAGGTGGACTGCTTCCTCTCTCGCCCCACAGAGAAAACCATCTTCATCATCTTCATGCTGGTGGTGTCCTTGGTGTCTCTTGCCTTGAATATCATTGAACTCTTCTATGTTTTCTTCAAGGGTGTTAAGGATCGAGTTAAGGGAAAGAGTGACCCTTACCATGCCACCACTGGCCCACTGAGCCCCGCCAAAGACTGTGGGTCTCCAAAATATGCTTATTTCAATGGCTGTTCCTCACCAACCGCTCCCCTCTCACCTATGTCTCCTCCTGGGTACAAGCTGGTTACTGGCGACAGAAACAATTCTTCTTGCCGCAATTACAACAAGCAAGCAAGCGAGCAAAACTGGGCTAATTATAGTGCAGAACAAAATCGAATGGGGCAGGCGGGAAGCACCATCTCTAACTCCCATGCACAGCCTTTTGATTTCCCCGATGATAACCAGAATTCTAAAAAACTAGCTGCTGGACACGAACTACAGCCACTAGCCATTGTGGACCAGCGACCTTCAAGCAGAGCCAGCAGTCGTGCCAGCAGCAGACCTCGGCCTGATGACCTGGAGATCTAGATACAGGCTTGAAAGCATCAAGATTCCACTCAATTGTGGAGAAGAAAAAAGGTGCTGTAGAAAGTGCACCAGGTGTTAATTTTGATCCAGTGGAGGTGGTACTCAACAGCCTTACTCGCGAGGCTGAGAAAACACAAAGACATTAGAATACCTAGGTTCATTGGGGGTGTTTGGGGTATATGGGTGGTGAGGGAGGGGATAAGAGAGGTGCATGTTGGTATTTAAAGTAGTGGATTCAAAGAACTTAGATTATAAATAAGAGTTCCATTAGGTGTTACATAGATAAGGGCTTTTTCTCCCCGCAAACACCCCTAAAAATGGTTCTGTGTATGTGAATGAGTGGGTGGTAATTGTGACTAAATATTTTTGTTTTACCAAGAAACTGAAATAATTTTACCCAGGAATAAATACTTCCTGAACACCTTTGGTCTTTTCAACAAGAAAAAGACAGAGGATTGTCCTTAAGTCCCTGCTAAAACATTCCATTGTTAAAATTTGCACTTTGAAGGTAAGCTATCTAGGCCTGACCCTCCAGGTGTTAATGGACTTGTGCTACTATATGTATTTTTTTATTCTTGGTTTCAGTTTAAAATTCAGATAAGGCCCACAGAATAACACTTTCCATGCATTTGCAAATTTCAGCATTATACCTACATTCTTTTTCCATCCACTTGCACCATATCATTACCATCACTTTTTCATCATTCCTCCGCTACTACTCACATTCATTTAATAGTTTCTGTAAACGTTTTTAAGACAGTTGCGATGTAATGTAACATTTTTTCTTTTTTGAGCTAGAGTCAGGGAATCAAGCCATGCTTAATGTTTAGCAATCACTTGTATGTGTATGCGTGTGGAAGAGTGTGTTTTGTTGTCATGTATTGGTACAAGCAGATACAGTATAAACTCACAGACACAGATTTGAAAATAATGCACATATAGTGTTCAAATTTGAACTTTTCTCATGGATTTTTGTGGTGTGGGCCAATATGGTGTTTACATTATATAATTCCTGCTGTGGCAAGTAAAGCACACTTTTTTTTTTTTTTTTTTTTTTTAGGATATAGCAATAATGCTATTACTGAAATGAATGATTTTCTTTTTCTGAAATGTAATCATTGATGCTTGAATGATAGAATTTTAGTACTGTAAACAGGCTTTAGTCATTAATGTGAGAGACTTAGAAAAAATGCTAAGAGTAGACTATTAAGTGTGCCTAAATGAATTTTGCAGTAACTGGTATTCTTGGGTTTGCCCTTCTTAATACACAGTAATTCAGAACTTGTATTCTATTATGAGTTTGACAGTCTTTTGGCATGACCAGCAAATTTGATATTTGCACTAAGATTTTACTGGGAATGCAAGAGAGGTTTAAAGAGGATTCAGTAGTAGGCATATAACTAATTTATTTGAACTGTATGCTGAAGACGTCTACCAGTTTCTCCAAATGCCTTTTTTAAAACTCATCACAGACGATTAGTGAAAATGCTGAGTATGACACTTTTCATCTTGCATGTCAGCTACATAAACAGTTTTGTACAATGAAAAATACTAATTTGTTTGACATTCCATGTTAAACTACTGTCATGTTTAGCTTCGTTGCATGTAATGTAGACCTAGACCATCATCAAATTGTGTGTTCTGGAGAGTGTTCTTTATTCAATAAAGTTTTAATTTAGTATAAAGATAGCCTCTATCCTGTGTGATTTTTCTTTTTGTCCTTCCCTCCTTTCTTCCTTCCTTCCTTCTTTCTTTCCCTTCTTCCTTCCTCCCTCCCTCCCTCCCTCCTTCCTTTCCTTCCTCCCTTCCTTCCTTTTTCCAAGATGGAGTTTGCTCTGTAATCCAGGCTGGAGTGCAGTGGTGCGATCTCGGCTCACTGCAACCTCCACCTCCTGGGTCCAAGCAATTCTCCTGTCTAAGCCTCCTGAGTAGCTGGGATTGCAGGTGCCTGCCACCGCGACTAACTAATTTTTGTATTTTTAGTAGAGACAGGGTTTCACCATGTTGGCCAGGCTAATCTTGAACTCCTGACCTCGTGATCTCAACTTAGGCCTCCCAAAGTGCTGGGGATTACAGGCATTTGAACTTTTCTCATGGATTTTTGTGGTGTGGGCCACCACACCGGGCCCATTTTTAAAACTCATTGATGGCATCTATTTGAGATTATTTAAGCACATTTCTATTGGTTATCAGAACTTGAGCAAATAAGAGCCACGTTTTCAGGGACAATATTTGTGATTAGCTCTGTTCAGTGCAACATTTTGAATTTTTATTGAACTGAAAGGAAGATAAAGTATTGAATTTGAAATATATCTTTAATGGGGTATGTGATAAAGTTTCAAATAAGGAAATATTAAACCTGTAATCCCAGCACTTTGGGAGGCTGAGGCAGGCAGATCACCTGAAATCAGGAGTTTGAGACCAGCCTGACCAACATGGAGAAACCCTGTCTATGAAAAATACAAAATTAGCCCGGCATGGTGGTAGGTGCTTATAATCCCAGCAACTCGGGAGGCTGAGGCAGGAGAATTCACTTGAACCCGGGAGGCAGATGTTGCTGTGAGCCAAGATCATACCATTGTACTCCAGCCTGGGTAGCAAGAGTGAACTCTGTCTCAAAAAAAAAAAAAAAAAAGGTCATATTGAGTAATTTAGTAGATGTGACACAAGCACAAAATCTTAATGAGGATGAAATTTTAAAGCTGGAAAGCCTCCTGGAAAAACATTAAGGGGTGAGTTTGAGCATGGTTACATGAAGCAGCAAAAGAATGAAATTCATCTTGATTATTTCAGTATACAATATCGTAAAAATATAGAAAAGATTTTAAAAATTCATAGTACCTCAAAAAAATCAACCATTCAAAGAGAGTAGGACAATTCTGGGCAACTGATGATACTGTAGTTTTAAATATAAAATATTAACACAAGTCACACTTCAAGGATGTTTTCTATTATAACATTAAAATTATTTACATGAACATTTATTATCTACCACAAAACAAACTGGTGAGCTACTGAAGCATAAAAATATCAGTAGTTTAGAAGTAATCTAGTCCAGTTTACTATTTTTGGATGAAAAAAGGTTGTGTCATTTGTCTAGTCTTCAAGTACTATTTGAGTGGTTGAGAATTATGCAGAAGAGGCAAATTCTCTGCATGTTTGCATTCAGTATGGGGAATAGACATGATTTGGTTGTATGTGTATTCATATATGGTAAGGTGTGGATGGACAAATGATCAGGCAATGACGAAGCAGTAAGGGGAAAGTATAAATTTCTGATGCCTGTATATGGAGGGGGGAAAGCAAGTTCATCTTTCAGAAATAGTCATGTAGGTCATCCTCAACATTTTCCAACTTTAAGACTTTTTACCACTTTAAAATATTTTCTGTACATCATATATATATATATATATATATATAGAGAGAGAGAGAGAGAGAGAGAGAGAGAGAGTACATATTATATATGTACACAGCTTAAGGAACTACAGTCTAAAATGCAGAGTTAGGTGCCCACCCACCTCTCACCTCTTTCCATACCTCAACACACACACCAGAAAAGTCCTAATTCTCAGTAGAAATTACTGTTAAAAATTTCAGACATTAACTAGGTATCAGGCACTTTGTTAAGCAGTAGGGATTCACAGAATGACCTGACTGCAGCTTTTGCTTCCACAAACCTTACAACATGAATCCTTACAATTTTAAAAGAAATTGCGCATTCTTCATTTTATCTTAATTGGCTGCCTGCCTGGTTTTACCTACCAAAAATTACATTGAACTCTATTTAAAAATTATTAGGAAGGCCAGGCGCAGTGGCTCACGTCTGTAATCCCAGCATTTTGGGAGGCTGAGGCGGGAAGATCATGAGGTCAGGAGATTGAGACCATCCTGGCCAACATGGTGAAACCGTACTTTAAAAAATAAAAATAAAAAATTATTACAAAGGTATGCAGTTTTGTTCTGAGAATATTTATTTGACATGCAGTTTTTGCATAAAATTTTAAGTTTAAAAAATTTGAGCCCGATGCAGTGATTCATGCCTTCAATTCCAGTACTTTAGGAGGCTGAGGCAGGTGGATAATAAGGTCCAGAGTTCAAGACCAGCCTGGCTAACATGACAAAACCCCAGCTCTACTAAAAATACAAAAATTAGCCTGGCATGGTGGCACATGCCTGTAAGCCCAGCTATTTGGGAAGCTGAGAGAGGAGAATCACTTAAACCTTGGAGGCAGAGTTTGCAGTGAGCTGAGAACACACCACTAAACTCCATCCTGGGTGACAGAGTGAGACTCTGCCACAAAAAACAACAACAAAAACCACCAAAAAAATCCTTCCAGTCCAAGAGCTGTTTTTTTTAACTTATGTTATGAAAATGGCTGAAACTCTCAAATTGCCTAGGGTGCTAGTTCTCTGCCCGCACATGGCCTCTTCTAAAAATTCCCAACTTCAGATTCCAACATGCCAAAACATCTGTGCTTTGTACTTGGAGGGAGAGCAAAATAATGAAGTTTGGGGACTTACTAAAGTCTTAAAGTGAGTTCTTTGTATAAACAGCACACCAACAGTGTAGAAACATGTTTATAATCTTTACTGGCTCCAAGATTCTGTTTTTACCTTTTCTTTGTTGGGCAAATATGGCTTAGCCCTTGGCATGTCAGAGTTTGCAGCTGGCAATTTTCAGAACTGAAGTGGAGATGTGGAAGAAACACCGCAGAAACGCTGCTTCACGAAGACTAGAAAAAAGAAGACTATCGTGTAGAGAAGAATGCTAATTTCTTTTAACATTAAAGAGGGAAATTTTGCATTTGTTTCCGGGTCTTCAAAAGTGTTGAAATTTTAATTCATATTATTTTTTCTGGTCTCCGGATGTTTGTTTGCAATGACTAAATGCTTATTTGGGCTATGACATATAATGTAATTTCAATGCCCACACATTTTCCTGTTGAATATGAAAACAGCCTCAAGAGCCACCCACTTTAAAAGGCAAACCCGGCCGGGCGCGGTGGCTCAAGCCTGTAATCCCAGCACTTTGGGAGGCCGAGGCGGGTGGATCACGAGGTCAAGAGATCGAGACCATCCTGGTCAACATGGTGAAACCCCGTCTCTACTAAAAATACAAAAAATTAGCTGGGCATGGTGGCGCATGTCTGTAGTCCCAGCTACTCAGGAGGCTGAGGCAGGAGAATTGCCTGAACCCAGGAGGCGGAGGTTGCGGTGAGCCGAGATCGCGCCATTGCACTCCAGCCTGGGTAACAAGAGCGAAACTCCGTTTCAAAAAAAAAAAAAAAAAAAGGCAAACCCTATGCCTGTCTTATTGAATGCAATGTGTCATCTGTCCCTACGCATATGGAACCAAATGAAGCCTGGCCTGGCTTTCATGCTGTAGTCTCTTGTCAGTTACTCTTTGCAAAACCATTTAACAGAATTAGTAGAGACAGTAAAATAGTTTTTAGTTGCTACATTAACAGAAACCACAAGTTTTATGGTTTTTTAATTTCTTTTTATTTAGAGACTGGGTCTCTCATTGTCACTCAGGCTGGTGCGCAATCACAGCTGAAGTGCAATCACAGGTCACTATAGCCTTGAACACCTAAGCTCAAGGAATCATCCCGTGTCAACCTCCTGAGTAGGTGGGATTAAAGATGCCTGCCACCAAGTCCCACTAATTTTTAATTTTCTTTTTAGGGAGATACTTTTTGTAGAGACTGAGTCTTCTTTGGTTTCCCAGATTTGTCTCCAACTCTGGCCTTCAGTGATCTCCCACTTTGACATTCCAATGTGCTGGGATTACAGGTGTGAGTGACCCTATTGGGCCAATTTTCTTTTTCTTTGTTTTTTGAGATGGAGCCTCACTCCAGTTGCCCAGGCTGGAGTGCAGTGGCATGATCTTGGCTTACTGCAACCTCCACCTCCCGGGTTTAAGCAGTTCTCTGCCTCAGCCTCCCGAGTAGCTGGGATTACAGGTGTGTGCCACCATCCCCAACTAATTTTTGTATTTTTAGTAGAGATGGGGTTTCACCATCTTGGTCAGCCTGGTCTTGAACTCCTGACCTCGTGATCCACCCGTCTCAGCCTCCCAAAGTGCTGGGATTACAGGTGTGAGCCACCATGGCTGGCTATTTTTATTTTTCATTTATTTTTTTGTTCAGCCTTGCAGAGACTCAAAAAATTGTCAATGCCAACTATATTTCTAGTCGTCATGGTGAAGTATTGGGAAAGGTTTTCAATTAGCAATACTCTCACCCTGGATAAACCTCATTGACTACAATCTGTAGTCACTGTGCAAAGCTTGGGTATTTCATTTTAAAAGTAAAAAAAGAGAAGTGTGACACTGGTTTCTGCTTTGAAAAACTCAGAGTTGCTGGGCATGGTGGCTCACGCCTGTAATCCTAGCACTCTGGGAGGCTGAGGTGGGCGGATCACCTGAGGTCGGGAGTTCAAGCCCAGCCTGACCAACACGGTGAAACCCCGTCTTTTAAAAAAAAAAAAAAAGAAAGAAAAGAAAAACTCAGTTATACATTTCAGATTTTCAGGAATATTTATTAACCCTAAACACAGTTAAGTAATTTAGAAACCCTTCCCTACAAGGATCAACCTTCAGCTTAGGCCGGGCGTGGTGGCTCATGCCTGTAATCCAAGCACTTTGGAGGCCAAGGCGGGCGGATCATGTGAGGTAGGGAGTTCAAGAC